CGGCTTCTCGGCCACTGGGGCACCGCGGCTGGGCCGACCGGGCAGCAGCTGGCGCCCTCGCATCAGCTGTTCCTGTGCACTGCAACGTCCGCTTTACTTCCCGCTTTCCAATGCTCCTTTAAGAACTTGTATTCACTCGATTTTAAAGGCGCGAGCTCCCTGTGCAGCCCAGATGGCCTCGCTACAGCTGGGACTGTAGCGTGCGCCACCGCACCCAGCCACACTGCTAATTCTTCACGCCAGGAGCTGTGGCCTGGTGCCCTTACTACCACGCGGGACCCTGGAGCGCACACGGTTCCTGCTCTGGCGCCGACTTCATCAGCTATTCCAGAAGAGATGCAGGCCCTTCCAGTTTGTTTTCCTGAGGGCGGCGCCATTCACGGAGCGGGTGAAGTATCATTTTGTATCCACACAACCATCACCGTCCATCACATCTGATTGGATCGCTGGCTGTTCCTTGCTGGGTTGGGAGTATCAAAGCCCATCCTATGGAAGATTCGCTTGGGTAGAGAGTACTGCAATGTTCCTGGCATTATTGTGTTGCAGCCAGAAGCCTGGTTTTTGAAGTGCTGTGCTTTTAAAGGCCAGAGATGCACTACCTTTATTTTTTCTGAAGTGGTGCATACATTTCACAATAATGATATATAAAGCGGAATTCAGTACCAGAAAAAAAATGTCTGGACATTTAGGAAAAGAGAAAAGGGGAAAAAATAGAAAGTGTAAAAAAAAAATAAATAAAAGGAGTTAGAATGAACATGCATACTAAAGAATTCTGGTGCTATCAAGGAATCTTATAGAAAAATCAGAATTATTTCAGTTCTTAATTCTGGCCCGCTTGACCCAGTGATATTCTGCTCCCCTCCCTGGCTCCAACCTTCGAGGCCCTCAAGGCCCACATCAGCCACGCTTGCAAGCTACGCGTTACACAGCACCCCACGTGTTACAGTCCCTGCTTGGGGGATCTGAGGTATGAATGGATTTAGAAGGTGGAGATTAAGAGGCATGGAGCAAAGAAGTCACTTGTGCGAGCTGACTGAGGAGATAGTGCTTGGCTTTTCCCTGCCACCACCAGGAACCTGGAAGGCCTGCCATCCACCTCTAGGTCTCGCCCTCTTCCCCTCACCCATGAGGTACCCGGATGCACTGGCCTAGCGGGGAATCCTGGGAGGCTGCGGCCCGACCTCCCCACACTTCCTGTGAGATCACAGGATAAAGAGGGGACCTGGTGCCTTGTGAGGAACCCAGGGAGGTGTCACCCGCAGGGAAGGTGGGGACTGCAGTGCCTGGTGGAGCCGCCTGGAATGCGGACAGTGTTCCCCCCAGGACTTGGCTGAGAGAGACGGAGGTGAGCGTGTGGGTTGGGTCCATGTTTATTACCAAGCCGGGAGAGAGTGAGCCGAACACAAGTTGGCAACGGCCTGGACAGGTCCCTGATAAACACAGCCACCAGCCAGCTCCCGACCAGGGCCGAGGGCGCTCCATTTAGACAAGCTATTTCGGGAGAGGGAGCTCACTGTGTGCTCAGGCTGGCTAGATTTTCAGTCATCCGCTTCTGTCCACTGAGTAGCTGGGGTATGAGTCCTGGCTCCGTGCCTGGCTAATTTCTAAGTCTGCTTTTCCTTATTCCAAAAAGAGTCGCCGCAGCTCCTCCAAAATATACTTAGCACGAAAGAAGTTTTTTGTTTTGTTTTGTTTTAAGGTGAATAAAGAAACTGTGGTAGAAATGACCAGGGCTTGATAATACGCAAAAGCTTGTGAGGAAGTGACACACTTGGAGCTGGCTAAGTTCACTCACAAACTGCCACTGTCAAGGCCAGGTGGGCGCCCTGGGGTGCAGAGCCTCTTCTGGCCTTCTGAAGTGTGCAGGCCCCTCTGCCTGTGACGGTGACCCAGGGTGCACTGCGCAGGTGTTTCCTAGGTGATAGAAATGCTGACCCCAAACTAGGCAGCCCCACAAATCGCTGAACCCAAGATGCCAATGATGTCCTTGAGATCCCTAACCTAGGGAGTGAAGCCAGCTACTCCAGACAAGCCCAGCAGATCCTGGTTGAGCAGGGAGAGACCTCTCCTGCAGGTGCTCACAGAAGGGCCCTCCCTGGTGCAGAGGGAGGAAGTCTCTGAGGACAACCTACCTGCAGGTACAGGGGCGAATTTCCCTGGACCACCACCTAAATCACCCTTCAACATCCACCAACGGCCAGGCCGAGGGCGTCACTGGGATTGGCAGTGTGGACGGGGTGGATGGGTCCAGCTGATCAAACCCTTGGCTCATACTCACGAAGACCCTTCCTGACTGCCACAGACTCCGGTGCTTTAATTTCACCAGGTCTCCGGCCAGCTCTTTCCCACCAGGATGCAAGCAGAGGGCGGAAGCCCCAGGACCCTGCATTTCCTGGCTGCCAGGCTTGCTTGTGAGTGTGGCTGTCTGAGCCGCTCTCCTCCCGCTCCTCGCCCCACCCCGATGCACTTGGCCAGTGCACATGTAAGACGGAGGGCAGCCGGGAAACAGCGTCTGCGAACCCAGAAAAGCCCTGGAGAAGAAAACGCTCCCTTGCTACATGCGGTGAACAGGCCGTTCGTTGTCTCTGCCACGCTGCCATGGGGCAAGCTCCACGATGGCTTGGTGAATGTGTATCGCCACGTGTTCTGCGTAGCAGGAACTCTACGTAGTATCCTGAGCCAGGTAAGAGCAGGTCTGACCCCATGGGTACGGGATGGGCACGGGTTCAGAGGAGACCAGGTCCTGGGAAGTGGTCTAGCTGGGTGGGGCGCGCACGGGATCCCTATGACGCCTGGGCTGCGGCCACTTACGAGATCTGAGAACCCACGGACCACCTGCCGCCGCTTCAGGTTGGTCTCGCCGTCCAGGTTGGCGGTCTCGATGTGGCACAGCCCATCGGGGTCGCTGGAGGAGAGCAGCAGAATGTCTGCGGGGACGATCTCGTTACAGCGCAGCCGCACGAAGTCTCCTACGTGAATTTCCTTCCAGAATCGGCTCACGTACTTCTTTTCCTCCCTGGTAAGAGAGAAGGTGCTATGTAACTTCCTGCGTCTGGCTTACTTCACACAGCACGGCGCCCGATTCCATTTCCTGTAAGTGGCCTGGCTTCAGCAGGACTCACCCCGACACATTACACCGATTGCACAAACCTCACCAACGATATCTGCATGCATTCTTGGCAGGGGCTCTAATTCACACTGCTGGAGAACCGCAGCCTTCTCCCTGGTGCTGCCTTCCTGTTCTCTGTGCCCAGCTCCTCCCAGAGAGCGAGCTCAGGCAGCGAGTTTAGGTCCTGGTAGGGACCGTGTTTGGCCACAGCCACCTGAGCCCAGCTTTGGACAACCAGAAAGCACCCGCCATTGCTTCCATGTCTGTTCATTCCACAGTGTGGACCTGAGGGAGATCTTGGCCAACGGTAAGGCCCCCGAGCCACTGGGCACTGAAGTGCAAAGTATTCCCCTTATGCTTACTGCAAATAAATGCAAGGCAAGACACGGCCACCAGACAACACCACCTGACGCCTGCAGCCTCCGATCCCACATCCCTACGAGCAAAGCGGCTTCTGTTGCAGTGGCCAAGGGGCCACAAGGGTGGCATGGAGGTCAGCCAGCTCTGGATAAAGCGCGGCAGCGGCGTTCCACTGCCGGACCTTCCTGCTTGCCCACTACCAATCTCAGTGCTTCCCAGAATGGAGACCAGCAGCCTTGATGTTGGCAGATGAGAGCATTTTAACACGTTCAGTTCTTTTTCCAAAGGTCAAACCTTGACTTTATACCATCATAACTTACAGCTTTTCAGTCTTTCTTTCTTGTTGCGACCATGTGCTGCCCCTGTGGAAGGTACAAAGCGACCCGAAAGGGCTGTCCTTCCATCACAGAAAAGGGCAGTGCTCGTCCTTGAATGAACGGTGCAGGCTTTGTTCCCAAGGGGGTTCTCAGACAGGCGTCCTGGACTCACCAGGGCTGAGACTTTATGGGCGCTGTCTCTGTTCAGCTTATCCTGAACCTCATCCTGTGTGCAAACCTCCAAAAGGTCGGCGTGCATCTGCTTTGTGATCACAGAACTCAGCCTGCCCGTGCTGCTGAGCCCATGTTGAGAACAAGAACGTGGAGGGAAAGCATTTGGGTCCTATGCAAGAGTCCCCCGTGGCCTCCACAGGGCTAAGCATTTGGAGAAAGGGTGTCTCTGCTTCCTTCCTTCCTTTTCTTTCTTTTTTTTTTTTTTTTTTTTTTTTTTTTTTGTCCTGGGGCTCAAATTCAGGTGTGCTCTACCACCAAGCTACATGCCCAGCCCTTTTTACTTTCAGGCAGATTCTCTTCACTTGCTTGGGCTGGCCTAGAGCTTGCCATCCTCTCGCCTCCTCCTCCTGCGCAGCTAGCATTATAAGCCTGCTTCATGGCCAGCCCGAACTATACAGTAAGACCCTGTCTCAAAAAAAAAGGATTGAACCCAGGACCTTGTGGTGCATGCTAGGCAAGTATTCTACCACTGAGCTACATCACAAGCCCCTATTTTATTATATATTTATTTTTTCCAGTATTAGAATTGAACCCAGGGTTGTTGCACTGAGCTACCGCCATTTTTATTAACTTTTTTGCAGGAGGCTGCAATACTAATTATGCCCAAAGCAGGCTGTAAGTACTGTAGGCTGTGAAGAATTAACCCCACAACTGGCTCATTTTGAGAAGTGAGTCCAGCTAAAGCCTACGTACTGAGGTCAGAATAACTCGCACCCAAATTGCATTTCCATAACTAAAACCTTCTTATTAGAAGGACAACGTTCTAATTACAACTATATATTTTGTCTATTCTGTTCCTAATTCAAGAATGCTTTGTCTTGTCCTTTATGAGCTTTGCTTGCGTAAGTTTCCATAGAAGCCACACAACTGCACATAATCCCACCCCTGCATCTTACCTTCACTCCAGTTGATTACCGATAAAAATGAGTGGCTTGGACAGACCAGTGCCTTTCCTAATTAAGCAGCACTGCCCATCCTGGTTCCCTGGTACTCTTTTCTCTTTTAGGAATGTAGCTCAGAGGTAGAATGCTTGCCGTGCATGTGAGAGGCCTTGGGTTTGATCCCCAACAATGCAAAAACCAAAACTAAAATAAATAGGAATTAAAACAGCTATAGCCCTCAACACAATTAATGAATTTCCTTGAGCAACTGGCTACGACGAGCTGCCTGAGGGAGACTGTCCACGTGTGCCTGGCCCTGTCACATGAGTCCTGCCAATCTGGGCCTAAGGTCAGGGGCAGGGAAGGGTGGAAGGCAGAGGGTCGGCACACAGCAGGGCCGGAGGGTGCACCCCCAGCCAGCAGCAGCACCAGCAGCAGCAGCAGCAGCAGCAGCAGCAGCAGCAGCAAGGGAACAGGGTGTCTACTATGTCTTACTCCCTCTCCCACCATGCTGAGGACCACAGACCGAGCACCCGATACACACAAAGGTTTATTCAGCTTCTGGCCCTGGAGGCCGGGAGGTCCAAAGTCAGGGGCAGTGCCTGGCGAAGGCTCCTTCCAGGTCGGGACCCTCAACAGAGACCAGAGGCAGCACAGGGGGCCTCGTGGTGGAGGAGGCTGAGAACCAGAGCCCGCTTGAGACAATCCATTGGCCCTTAAACCAAGGGATCAATCCACTGAGCCTCTCACGAGACTGTGCCCCGAGGAAACCGAGACTTCTGCATGGGGAACCACGAGCAGAAGACCTGGCTTGTTAGGGCTGAGCTGTGGAAACTGAGATACAACATTTGTATGGTGTTTAGTGCAGAAGGGGGGCGGATTGTGACACAGCCTTAGAAAACCGACACACTACCTCCGATCCAGCGAGGAAGCCAGGGCTCCTTCGGCCCCAGCAGCTGGGTCCGTGTTCCGGAGAACCGGGTGGGAGGCCACAGGGAAGGCCAGCTGTGTGTGGTCACTACCTCGAGCTGGGTTAAATGACAACTCCTAAGGAGGAGTTATGTTTTTCAGGTTTTTAAACTTCATAAGAGAAGGTAGCTGACTTGGGGAATTTAAAGGAGTTACTTTAGGTGGCTGACAGGTATGTGGGGCAGGAGATGGCTACTACCCTCTTGCCCTGAAAATAAGACCTAGCCAGAAAATAATCAGCCTTGGGAATTAGAGATCAAAACTGCAGCTCCAGTCCGCCGGTCCTGGCCTTCCCCGCTGTCACTGTTCCCCTGCTCGGTGGCTGCTCTGTAAGACGGCTGAGGCAAGGATAGGAGGTTGGGGCTGGAGGTTTTGATCTCTAGTTTGTAAAGCTGCTCATTATTCAGCAAGGTCTTATTTTGGGGGAAACAGGATACATATTTGTAGGTCTTCATTCGTGCAGCTTAAATTCCACTAATTAGAAACATGTGACTGCTGTTATTTCTTGAAATACAGTGATCTTCAGTAAGTCTCAGGGGTGTTCAGATAGTCTACAGAGGCCAAAGGGTCTCTACGACACATTTATAGTTGTTTTCAAAGTAGGAAAAACTGAAAGGAAAAAACAGCTTACACAGGAAATGAGGGAACTGTGCATTCATCTATTTTCAAGTAGACTTGCATTTATGACATTATTTGGCTAGTTTCCTAATTAAGAGTAAAAGAAGAAAAGATTTTCCTTTCTAAAAAAGTGATGGCAGATTCCAACATTCCTCACAGCCAGTTAAGGCCTGGTGACCCACTGCCACCCTGCACACAGAAGAGTCACAGCAAGTTGGTGTGGTGGCACTGACCGCACTCTGCGAGACTGAGCTAGAACTGCAAGCTGGAGCCTAACCTGGGCAACTGAGCAAGACTCTTTCAAAATGAGAAAGGGCAGGAAGTGCAGCTCAGTGGGTTCAATCCGCAGTCTCTCTCTCTCTCTCTCTCTCTCTCTCTCACACACACATACGCGCGTGCGCGCACACACACACACACACACACACACACGTCACAATAATCACTTGAATTTATTGTCTGTGATCTCAGTCTGTCTATAAACCCCACAGTGAGGATGCTCCTCTGCTGTGTTTCCGGCCTGGATAGGAAGATGTCAGAGGAGGCGTTCCCTACAGCAAGTCCCCTGCCTCTGCAGTGTGAGCCTGGTGACACTGCCGTCCACGCCGAGTGAGGGAGCATCTGGCAGGCGGCTGCCACCCTGAGACGCCCAGGAAGCAGGCACACGTGCCCAGCTCACCCTGTGCCCAGAGCACCGCTGGGGGAGACTCACTTCATCTCCTCCTGGACACTCCAGGGATGAACGGGACGTGGAATGTTGAGAATAGCCCTGCACATCTGGCTTCTTACCTTGCGTTACCTAACGTCGGGGCCACTGCCCCACGCTCCGAAAGGACCACTGTCCCAGCTCTAATGGAACCGTGTTATTATTTGCACAACATGAGACCCCTACACCCTCCCCAGGCAGCACTGAGGGGACGAGGTAAGGGGGTGACAACAGGGCCCTCACGTTTGATTTCTGCCCTTTAAATCCCGCCCCCCCAGCAAAAGCGCGCATGGAAAGAAAAGCCTTGGATTTAAGGTGGGTGGGAAAGGAAGAGGAAGAGGAAGAGGTTTTTCAGGTGTGAGCATGAAACAATTCTAAGAACAACTAAGAGGCTTGAGAGACGAGTTCGTATTTAGATTTAGCACGCAGGAAACAAGGGAGAAGGGTCTGAATAAGATCCTAAGAGGCAGGAATCTGAGCCCAACTGAACTCCAGCTCACCCAATGGGGGCCGCTCAAACTAGAGAGCTTGATTTGGGCAACAGTGGTCCCAAATCACAGGCGGGAAGGAATCCCATCAGAAGCTGCGGCCTAGCACTCTGGAGGGCTGAGGCAGGAGGGCCCAAACTGGAGCCCAGCCTGGGCACCTGAGTGACCTAATGAGAGACTCTATCTCAAAACAAACAAGCAAACAAACAAACAGGTCTGGGGATGTAGCGCAGGAAAGGCCCTGACAACAGACGGATACACATCGGGATCCTGGGAGGGAGGCGGCCAGAGACCCATGGGGCTGCCGAGATCCCAGGAGGAAGGACTGACAAGAAAC